AAGATAGAACGATTCTTGTGGCGATTTATTGAAAAGCTCCATCTGTTAGATATTAAAGGAGGAACGACAACAATTCCTTAAGTTAAATAACATTTTATTATTTTTGACTTCCATATGTGAAGATGTAAATCAATTCATTTCTGTGATTACTCTTTAAATTTCTTCGAGTGAAATCTCACTCCAAAAGAATGAAAATAATCTTGTTGGTTCAATAACAGTATTAATAAAACAAATAAAATCTTAAAACGAGAGCATAATGTATTTGTTTCATTAATAATGTTATTAAAAGTAACAAAATATTATTTTCAATTAAAATAACGCTATATTGGTGTAATTTTTTTTTTCAGTGTACTAACTATTAAAAAAATAATTTTAATCAGGTATAATAATAATAATAATTCTGAATTCAAGTGCGCGGGAGCAAGATTTATAAATTTACAAGTCGACTTGTAAAATGTTGACTATAATAATTTTTTTTCTCATGTAAATACCTATTTCAAAAAGAATCCTATTCGTGTTTGGCTTATTTTTGCAGTTAAGCGAGCGGCACGAATAAAATGCATTGTTTTTACATCATCACACTTTACGTAAAGACACAAAATATAGATAAGTAGAGTCTTAAAGCGCAAAATACTCTTTGTTGTCGAACCATGGTCGCCTGGCTGTGAATCGTCGCGTGTAATTAGACTTAACAATGTCTCTCCTTACGGAACGATAACTGCACCATTTCTGCAAGGCACGAGTGCACCGTGTATTGATGTCAAGGACACAGGACAAAACGTGAACCGAACCGAACTACCGTAGCCTCTACAGCCGTCATATTCTACTCGCTTTTTTTTTTTTGCCTCGCCACGGAGATGTTTCCTTTTTAGGATTTAATGTATGACATCACCCTCACCTCGATGCTTTTTTACATACGTACGGTGTGCGCAGGCAAACGTTTTACGTCTCTTACATAATGTTACTCATTACTTGCGCAAAATATATCTATTTTTGCAACATTCGCGGTGACTTAACTCTTTGTCTGCAAACCAATTTTTAATCTCTCCATCTAGTCCGAGTTTTTTTTGCTGCTCACACTGAAAAGAATATTTACTAAATTTTAAGACATATTTCTTTGAATGGTGGTAAGAAAACTTTTGTTCTTTTTCTTACACTAAATAATATTTACTCACTAAAAGAAATGATAGAAATTAAATTAATGGTTTTTGTATCAAATAAATATATGTTTACATTTAGTAAATATTTATTTGGGACTATTAAAATAAATATTTATTAAAATTTCGTATTTTTTTCAGTGTAGGTTTTCAAAAAATGTGAGAAAAATTTAGACTTTCATAAAAATGTGGAAAATACAAATTAAACATACAATAATTATACAATAACTTTTACCTCCGACTGCTGCCAAGCTGCGATTTTTAATAAAATTTTAGGAAAAAGAACCAGATTTCGCTTCTCTTTTATTTTGGAGAAATTGGAAAGTAAAATTTTGCTTATGTGAAAAAAAATTTTAGATCGCAGTTGGAGAATTGAAAACGAAGAGAAAAAGAGAAAATATCAGCATTCTGCGTTTTATTTTTTGTTCGCAATCGGAAAGTAGAAAAATACATGTCATCGCCGAATCGAATTTCAAGGGACTCTCAACCGACTTATTTTTCAAGAGCTGAGCTGCTCGATTACAAGACAGTTGTCCCGCTTATCTCAAGCATTTTTATACGAATGCCGCGTATAATCCGCCTCGTGAACTCGGAGCGGATTGTTACCTTAGGATTCCGTGACTTTTGTGTATACTCGAGGATTTCTTCTTCCATAACGTCGGAATTACCGAACTAACATTGTATAATGCCGCTTTGCCTCGGAACTGTTGCAATAAAACGAGAACGAGAAATGCTACGGCACTATCGAATTACGCTTATCTCGCGTATTGAGAAACATTTGTCTCGCAGAGAGATAACCGAGGAATATGGGCTGCCAAATATAGTCCGCTGCAAATCGCACGACGGCCGACTCTCGACACGGTGAAATTTTGCATTTTTCCCTTTCTCGCCTTTCGCGTCGCGAAGGATGAATCTACAAAGAGCTTTGCTGAAGAGCGTATTACGATTCCAAGGAAATGAATCGTCCACTCGTCTGTGATCTCTAAATCGTAGACTTTATATCCGAAAATAATTAAACGCGTCTCGTGTTTGTTACGCCGTAGGATATTACTCGAAAACCCGACGAAAATTAACTCGGCTTTCCCGCATTCGTATTCGCTTTCGTAAGTCATCGGACCGTCGTCGTCGGCAGATCTCGTCTCGTTTCCTGTGGCTTTTCTGTTAAACTGCCAAGAAGTTCAGCGACGTATTTGATACCAGATATATCTCGCGTATACCCGAAAATACGCGTTTCGTATTTCCGACGGGGGCGTGTATTTCCCTCGTGGTGGAGGGGTCCCTTTTCCGTCTTGATCACGTGGCGCCTCGCGAACGCGATCTGTACGCGATGCGTTTCTGCGTGCGTGCAGAAGGAAGAAACGTTCGCAGCCTCCCACGTAGCGGCTAACAACAGTTTTAACGGATCGTGCACCCAAGTTCGACAAGTAAGGCCGTGGATCTCTCGCCCACACACGTGCCGTCGTGTACGACTTCGCATGATGACTCTTCTCGCGTGTTGTTTCTGTTTAGTTCCTTTCGCTACGGAGAACCACCGGTGGTTTCCATCGTACATGCGCTTCGAAGGTCTGTCGTAATAACTTGTCGAACATTTTTATTTAACGACACACAGAGCATACGAATGTGTTCAGAATTGTATGAAAATTATTAATTGTTGGAATTTTTGTTTTTACGACAAAATTCCAATAATTTCGATCTTTTTATAAATGTAGGAAGTGGGAGAATATTTTTAACCTTAAGGAACTATTGAACTGTGAAAAGTGTTACTGGAACTATTTCAATTATTTTTTTTTTTTTACATTAATAGAATGTCGACTGGATCCGCCATTTTTTTTTACCTTAATTGATTAATTTATATATACAATGATTCTTCAAGGCAATCTTTTTAGATGCAAATTTTTATTTACGTTGTTATAATTGTGGCATTGAAAAAGATCTTTTATTCCGTACAAAAACCGTTAATTTGGCTTATCATTTTTTTAATTGAATAAATATTTACCGTAAGTAAATATTTAGTATTATTTCAAGAAATATGTATTAAGATTTAGCAAATTTTTCTCAGCGTATTACTATTTCTATATTGTTTGAATTGTGTATCGTTATTTTACTTTAATAGATAATTATTGCAATTGATATTGAAAGATAATATAGATATGTAAGTACAAATATAGATCTTATCGAACATATCTTATGTTTACGTTTTACAAATGCAGTGTAGCGTAGAAATATAATGTATAAGTCACTTGATAGATACAATCATGAATGGATCAGAGATGCATGTAGTTTTATCGAGAGATTGAAGATAATAGCGCAGAAGAGCAAAACCAAAGAGGAGAGTAAAAATTCTCGGTACTGAGCAATGATGTCACAGCCAGACGATGGCCCTGAGAGAACGTTTACCCCGTGGCTCGAAAATAGGCTCATACGCCTATGTATAGCACTTGGTTAAATGTATTTAAACGTTGTACTGCGACGTTTAAACACTTTGCAGTTTGTGACGGTAGTGTACGAGTACAAGCTGGTCAATGGAAAATTAAATTTAGCAACGTTCACCTAGATATCCTCTTTAGGTGCGAGATGTAAATGTAATATATTATGTGATATTAAAATTGACACGTTAAAGATATAGTATTATCGTTGGCATTACTCAGTGATTTGTGTTATGACTTCCACCGTAATTACTATGCAGTCGCCTTTCGCAGCGCGCGTTTAGCAGGTACTAAATTACAAACGTTCGATTAGAAATTCGCTGGTGGGTTAATTGAATTGTGCATTCTCTTGATTAACAGAAACGGCATTCTGTGTCTAAGCGTGTCGTTTTTATTACTGAGGTTGTAATCGCAAGTGCACTTGCTTTCTGGCGAGACTCGCATATTAACGAATGAGAGAAAACACAGCAGCGATTCACCGTCTTCAAGAGGATAGAGTTCGTCTCCCTCTGGATCGATATGTTTGCATCACGCGAGCTGTCAACATTGCACGAGAGATACGATCTCTTAGGCCTACTCCTCTATTTTCGTACTCTCTCCATTTATATCGTAGTTGTTGTTGATCAGAAAAAAGTGATTTATTTTTGTTAAATGAGTTACTGGATATTTTATTCCAAAGAATAGTTGGATATCTGGATATATCTTTCTTCCTCTGTGTATTGACGTCGAGTCTTTTTTCGTTGGATTATCATCCAAGGAAAATACTGAACAATATAAATAAAGAATATTGTGCATAACAATATAAAAGTAAAATCATCAGAAATTTACGATAGCAAGCAATATCTCTTTGCAGTGGCATGACTTATAATTACATGACTTATAATCATGATCCTTGAAAGCACAACCTTTGAATAATCAACATGTGCTGTTCAGAAACATAAACATTATCGCGAGAAATGGACTAGACAACTCCGCTCTACCCTGTTTAACTCTAATATATGTATCTTATATAGGCTTATCCTAAATACTTCATTTTATATACTTATATTTAACAAAACAAAAATTATTATAATAAAAAGAAGGTACTTTTTCCCCTAATTTCTTAATGACATAATCCCGTTTTTTTCAAACACGAAGAATGCGAGAGCGAATTGCGTCAACGCGCTTCTATTATTAACCTGCTTTTTCGCCATAGTTGGAAGTGTTAATTAATATATACCATAATGGAGTACCATATAAACGCTTTCTGTGCTCGCTAAATTAACCGGTAGACCTCGATCGCCTTGATGCACCGGCCGCTTCACGCGAAAGCGACGACGCGATCCCACCGAAGAAGGAGGACAATCATTGCCACCGCGGCTATAATCGGCCGATATGCGCCATAAATTCAAACGACGTACGTGTTCTTCTTTTGCAGGTTGTCCAGAATGGTTTAGAGATCCTCACGTATCTCGCAGATCGGATGGGTCACGACTTCAAACCTTACATCTCCACCACCATCCAGCCGACGATAGACAGGCTAGGTGAGTACGGGGGTGGGGTGGGGGGGGGAGGCGTATTTATTCCATCCGTTTGTCTCGTAAATCGTCTTCGGGGAGGAATCGGCTGGCACGATACGCGATATCGAAAATTTCTATTATTATTTACGACGATCGATAATTTCACAAACGGCTCACGATGGTCGATTATTGGCACCGATAGAAGCTCTTGTACATTTCGATTTGTAAATATCCCGTATTCGCGATGTAAAGATAGTCGGGGATAATTTTAACAGCAAGCATTAATTAGAAAGTTATACCATCCCTATAGAGATATACCTGTATCTCGAAAGTGTGATGAGTTTCGCGAACATTTCGCCGCGTATTGGGTGAATCATCGTTAATCGCTAAATGAGTTTCAAATAGAACGATCCAGAGTGACGTTTAAATCCCTCTAATGAGGTTGGAAACAAAAAGTCTATGACAGATGTATACACCATGTTTGTCGAGAACCGGTCCGCCGATCGCTTTCAGTTGTCCCGCGGAGCCGACGTCAAAAATAATCACACGTACAAAGCTATTCGATCCAAAGATATTCGATCCCAATTTTCACGCGTGTACGAATCGACAATTAAATTTGCATTTGTTACAGGTGACAGTAAAGATGCTACCAGAGAGAAGGCGCAACTGGTGCTCCTGAAAATTATGGAAAAGGGATGCATGTCGCCTCAGAATCTTCTGGATAGACTTCGTCCAGCTTTCAATCATAAGAATGCAAAATTACGAGAGGAGGCCCTGATTCTGTTGACGACTACGTTGAACGAGTGAGTGGTGTTCACTTGAAATGAATTATATTGTACGAAAAGAAATTGGTTTTTTTTTTTTTTTTTATTTTTTTTAATGGAATTTAAATTTTTCCAGACATGGAGCAGATGAGATGGCACTGTCGGGGGTAATTCCGAGCATCGTAAAGCTGTTGTCGGATCCGTCGGAAAAGGTTCGGGAAACTGCTCTGAACACGCTGGCGGACATCTATCGACACGTAGGCGAGAGATTACGCGTCGATTTGCAAAGAAAACACAATGTGCCGCAAGCCAAGTAAGTGAAATGGACGGAGAAAGCGATTGTCTTTCGGCTTTCGGTCTGCATAGAATTTCACGGGATATCTCTTAATCGATGATTCAGTCGTTCAAGAAATTTTTCTCTTCCTCGTTAAAAATTAACTGATCAGTACGATGCATTATAACGAAACCATAAAATCTAAACGTTATATTAATCGCAATCGTTATATAAATCCGTCGTCCGTTCTGCTTGCAGAATGCTCCTGCTAATAGAGAAGTTCGATCAACTGAAGGCCGCCGGTGATCTTTTACCCTTGGCAATGTCGTCCGACGGTGAGTAGACTGATTGAATTCTCTGGCGCTGCGGGGTACCACTTAATTTAAGCTCGCCGCCGCCGACGACGACGACGACGACGACGAAGATGAAAAGTAAGGCGCGAGTGTACCACGCGGCGCATATCGCTATTCAACGTGCGCACGAAGACTTGTATCGTGCTGCCATCGTGCAGCTCTAGAGTTTAACACGCGGCGATCCTGCCTTAGCATGCAGGAAGACTCCTCCATCTGTCTGCTCGCCCCGCCTCGTCCTCCTCGCAGCTTAGCATTACACGTATACATCATGAATATTTACCGAAGACCGCGTGTTCCTCGATGTGATGGGAATATACGCTACTTCCACGGTTCCATGTACTTCGCAACCGACTTCGATTTAATGACACGTCGATATCTTGGCTCGATCGGAATTTTACCACCACATTTCCGGCGAAGAGAGAACGACCAACATTGATGATATTGAAATAACGTTTGGAGAGGGAAGTCGCTCGCCGTTCTGTTGCATAAAATTTCGTTTCCTTGAACGGTGATACAATGAGGTCGCTGATTCGCGTTATCTGCTCACCGCCGGGGAGATTACATAATATTGCATTCAGAGCGATAGAATCGCGTGTGATATATCGTATCGGTGTATTGTTTCAAGCGCCGTACCACGCCTGTAATCCATACCGAAGCTGAAGCTATCCTGCTTCGAAAGACGGACGGCCTTGCAACGCTGCGACTGCTCGGCTTGTCGGCGTTCGAATTTCGGTGGCAAATATTACGTGTCGCACTCGCAATTGGCACCTTCGCTTCTCGATTGATAGAAAATAATCCGCCGTTGAGATGGACGATGAGAGCAAAAGTTCGTCCGGCGACAATTCCGCCGTTGCATTCCGCTTGCGCAATCGATCGCAACATAACATGTTTGCGGTTATTCGAGGAGGAACACGATTGCAACATTCTGCAAATATCATCCTCGCGTCTATATCTTTCCCAAGGTTCATCGGAGTTCTGCGACATTTGTCATTCGAATGCCGTACGATTATTAGTTTCTGTTATTAATTGCCGCGTAATTATTCACGGTAATTCCGCGAAAGGCCAGACAGTTCTCATCGTTCAGCAAGATTATCGTCTAATATAAATTATTCTTACAAATCAAAGTAATTAAACATTCCACAGTCGCGAAATAAATGATAGGAAAATTGACTAAATAATTACTGACAATTAATGCGAGGCTATTTATCATTCTGGTGAAAGTAGCAATTAGAATCGATGGCACATATTGATGTGGCATGTTTATGAATTATACACTTTCGTTATTCAGTGAATTTTAAGTAGATTCCATGAAATTTTTTTCACTCTTGCCTTTCTTTTTTTCTCTCTCACTCAGATCTACGATCGAAGATGCGCGCAGTTCTGTTTCCTTTGCTACACCCTGCGCATATACGATCACGATTAGATCATACCTGGGCTTGGCAAGGAGAAGCCACGGCGCTTCGCTTGATTTCAGAGATATTAATAGAACTCAAAATAGCCGTGAAGCGCTAATGACGATCTTCCGCGAAGCCTCCGACCATCCCCTTCATGAACATTCGAACTTCCGGTCGCCCGGCAAAGTCCGAGGGATCAGTCTCGGGCGTTATTAGAGCAACACGTTCTGCACACTGATTACATATCTATGAATATTTCAGCCTCCTGTTAAGTTACGCTCTATAGCAGATTACAGAATCTTAGCGTTACTATGTCGAATGCCATGTACATCTAGCATGCCTCGCATATTAACTTGGAAACATATAATTTAATTGAGCTTGCAGGCGCGCGAAGAAAATTCAATTTACTCTCGTAATTAAAATAATTCTAAGAAATCAATCTTTGATCTGCCGTGTTATACAGTCAGTTATCGGTCAGTCTATCTGCCTTATTCATTCATGCATAAACGCGAACAAACACTTTGCGTACATTCAATTTTCTACCTTTTTATGATTTATGCATACTTCACGGTCATGACGTAATCACGCTCGTGACACCCGTCCGCCGTGTTTTGACGACCAAACTTCTTGCTCGTCGAATACAAATAAGAGAACCGCGGGACAACCATTTTTTTTCATAGCTCATAGCAATAAAATTTCTGTGACAAACACGCTAATTCGATCAATTAAATGAAATAAACCTATTTTTGGTCAAAGCGGATTTTAGACTGGTATTCATAGTCGGTTCTTATTATAAGATCGTCTTAAAATACTAATACAGCCTTCTGATTGGTTCAAAACATCTTAAGACTTAAGACGATCTTGAATATAAGATCCGAACTATGAATACCCGGCGTTAGTTGAAATATTTCACACTGATTAAATTTATATACATAATTTTGCAAACAGAAATCTTTTTAGTCTTAAAACGGAATCGTGACATAGAACGAGAATAGTAATATCACATATGAAATTGACAAGCAATTTAATAATGTTGATGCTAATAAGATTGGAATCGTCATCGCGGTATCCTCGAAGCGACGCGGAAAGGTTACGCGCGCCCGGCGAATGAACAAAAATTTGCATAAGTCTCGTTTTCGCTCTCTCTTTCCCCGTGACCCCGTGCAATGCGATTGTGTTAGAAGTTCGCGTTAAGGCACGGTTACACCATGCTCTTTCCGAAACGCGTTCCTCTTGAGTCGTTTTTCGTAACAGAAAAGATGTAGATGAAAGTCGATGGAAGTCGACGATGGAGATGCGTGTGGCTATTGTAAAAAAATGTAATTTATTATATCAAAATGCAATACATATAAAACGCCGCCGCTATATAAATACAATACATATAAATACAATACATATATAAAAACACGTGTGGCCACTGTAAAAAAAATATATTTTGCATATATAATAAACTGACAATTTTTTAACTTATGTATTTAAATTCTGACGTGTTTACAATTTGCGGATATAGAAATACAAATTGCTAGAATCGATCGTCGAAATGAAGTAATGTCTCGGAGGTTCTAAAGATCTAGATTTAAATTAAGTCCTGGATTTAAATTATCAAATCTTAGACCTCGCATAAACTCTCCTTAATTACGACGTGTCAGTCGTCGCGAGGATAATTCGCGTCAGCGTTGCCGCGATAGAAATTACTTGTCACGCGATAGAAACTACCCTGTTTTACGCATTATAAATTTCCCCATCGCCACCCGCGCCCGCTTTTAATCTCGCGCCTTATTATGCGACTTTATCCCGAGGGCAGCGAGATGCAATGCACACGTGCGCAAGTGAAAGGTAGGGTAACACGCAGATTTATCTCCGCAAAGCAGCGCGCTCTGTTCCACGTTGCGCCGGTGTGCGCACAATCAGATATGAAAATACAGAATAATACCCAGCTGCTGCCCTTTCATCGCGCGTTCTTTGACCGTTGCCCTGTTACCCTTTACGTAGCCTGGCAACGGAATGAACTGCTCGAATCTCGCACCACAGAAAAGTCGATTAATGACGTCTCTTTCCACACTGAAAAAAGAGCCTGATTGCATACATTGAAAATTGGATTGATGGACAAGTTAGAATTTTTTAGTGGAGTCTATTATAATTCTAGTTGATGTAACCAGAATTCTGATTGATATTAACAATTTCGCTTCGTCCATTTTCAGCCAGAAATTTTTCGTAATGCATCATACAATGCAACGTATTATAGATTAACTTCAATCCCAGTTCAGTTTATTCTCCATCTTTTTCTCAGAACTGTACAAAAGAAGAAGAGTAAAAATCGAACTGGGATTAAAGTTTATCTACATTGGTAACGAGTCAGAATTATTAATATAATTCTGTTTAAATTTCTATAATCATTACGAGTTGATAACATTGGCGTTAATGACATCAGTCTCTGGCTTATGCTTTGCAATTCGCTTTGTAAGACCAAAAGTCGAAAGTGATGGAAGATTCGTTGGTCAACCGAGCAATCGGGAATCAGAATACTTGGGAAATCTCTGTTTCAGGGCTTTTGTATAAAAAGGGACAAATTGCCCTGTAATCGTGCAGTAATTGTTTGCCTAACCCATGACATACGGCGTCGCGCACGATAAGCGTGTTTATGCGCAATTATGCGCAATGTATATGCGCTATTATGTAACGACGAGGTATTATCGCCTGCCTTCGGTGCAGAGGCCGTGTGGGCGAATCTTCTTAGCGTTGTTTCTCTAACGGCAGTGCCTCGCACGCGGGAATTGACGCTCACATTTTCCGATGCCGATGATCTCATGATCGCGTGACGCCACTCAGAAAATCTATAATCAACCGCCGCTCGCGGTGGTTTCTTTTATTTTCATCCCGGAACTGCGCTCCGTTTTGCCTCAGGTTCTTATCTTATCGTAATGAAGCATCTGTTAATTCATAGTTCTGCCCATGAACGTCAAATGTCTTTAAGACACAAGCTGTATAAATTATTACTCGTTCCGGAATTCGAATTGTACTTTTCGTTTAATGATTATATCTAGAGTACTTCGTATTCGCTTTAATATTCGCAATATTCAAAATTTACCGCAAAAAACCTCGCGAACAAGGCAAATAAGTTAAACTTGTTAATTAATGCATCGTTCAATGATATAATCTTAATTTGACGATAATCTCTTAAAGATTTTTTTTTTTTTAGACAAAAAATTTAGGAAAAAGAAACAAAAGGTAAATCGAGGTCTACGAGAATTCCCGATCACAAATCCAACTTTATTTATCAACTCCCAAGATAATTTTTCAAACCGCCATCTTTGGCGATGAACGTTGTCAATTTCCTGCGCATTTTCGAGGCTCTCGTACCATTATTTTCTCGCTCGGCGAAGGTCGCTCAAAGAGTACCTAGTTTAACGGCCAATTATACGTCTCATTCTTTTTGCGATTCGAAACGCAAAAAAAAAGAACGGAATTCAAAAGCCGACTTATTTTCGCTGATAATGGTGTCCGTAATGATCCCTGTCCCACGTTCGATTGCTCCTCATAAATTGACCTTCGAGCACAACATACCACTTTGGTATTCAGCGAAACCCG